CAAATTATCAAATGATCAGCTGATTTACTAATTTAGAATGATTTAAATACACAGTATGTACTGCTTCATTTTACTATTCCGTTTAAATAAACAGATCAATATTGAATTATCAAACACATTGTTGATATGCGAGTAATTTCCACAATTCCAGAAGCCGAACTATGCAGTTCTCACTGAACGTGTGTAATCAGCTTCGTGGTCGTATAGTCTTCGGTCTGTCTCAAGTGAGAAACCAGCTAAAACCAAGTCAAGTGTCTGTAGGAGGCAACCCAAACATCTACATATGTATTTATGTACATACATACAGTTGAGAACAATCCGCCCCATAAACCGGAACGAGTTCTAAATACTTGAAACCTGCTTACTCTTGTATTTTCGCACTTTCCTTTTTATAATCTGTCCCTATGCATATTCCGACCGGCCCACCGACCGGATCGATGTGCACACATTTCACCTGGTCCTGGTTACCGTAACTAACAATAAGGGAGATCAGACGAGTCAGTTGAATCCCCTAAAGACTAAAACCCTGTGTTTTAATAAATTATATTGGAATATTTTCGGAAATTTCAAATAACAAATAAAGTTTGAAAAAAACCAACATCTTCAATTTTTCAGAAATATGATTTTGAATACATAGAAATTTGGAGAAATATTGATTATTATATTGTATTGTACATAGAAATAATAAATAGGCGAAGAAAAGTGTTAAGTGAATATTAGTTACGTATATTGCAAAGTTTTTGCGCTAGCCCTTCAGAAACTCGGGTTGTATATGTGTAACACACGCAAAGGCTATTGAGGTCGAAGAAAAAATTTATCGTGCAATTCTTATTTATTGAACGAATGGAAAACAGTTTTCTAAAAAATAACTTTGCTAGTAGGAGTATTATATATTGCATTATCTATTTGCATACTTGAAAGAATCATTCCTGTATGTAATCATCTATCAGCATGACAGAGTGTTATTGTTAGTTTTACAATATTTTTATAATGTGGTTTGAATCACTCTATATACGTAAATAAAAGAACGTAGGTACACTCGCAATCAGGAAAAGTGTAGATACCCTCAGTCGGCACCCTTAGTTCCCTTACAATTAGTTAGTTAAGAGGAAGTAGTGTCTAGGTTAGGGGCTCTCCCTAGCTTCATCCCACACCGAAGACAAATAGTAGAAAACTTTTTTCCCTACACTTATTCTTAGCTAAAGGATAACTCTCCATTAATTTCTAAAAGTTCGACTTAGAAAAAACAAGTAACTATCTAAACTTGAAGAAGAAGCTATTTTAAATCGCAAACGTGACATACCGGTCGATAATTCGTAAAAGGAAGATGAAAAGGATGAAAAGAATGTGTAGTTGAAACGGTTTTTCTTGCTCGAAGAGAACATGCAGAGACGCTTTAAAGCAATTCCAAGTTTAAAGCTGACTCGAGGCAAGGATTAATCGAATCGCTTTACGGAAGCGAGTTAAAGTTATTTCGAATTCACGGTTGACTTTAAAGCATATGAAACATGCCTACAACTTGTTACGGTTCGTAACCTGAGGAAGTATTGTATAAATATAATACCTTTGTAGGAAATGCTGGAAATAGAAGGAACGATATTGATTTCGTTTTTCGAAACGAAGGTGGTAAGAAATTAATGTAAACTGCTGCTGCTGTAATTATTTAAAAATCTCGATCACCCTGAGATTAAATTAAAAAAAATTTGAATTATTTATCAAAGAAAATCCCGAACGCGATTTGACGAAGAAAAATCAGTGGAGCGACAAATTTTTCGAACAGTTTTAAAAGTAAAGCAGAAGTAACGAGATCGATCTGCTGAAGTTTGAGAAAAGTTAGAGTGGTAAAGAGGGTTCCATTACTCACCAGTCGGCCAGAATCTATTGGAGTTGGCTGCTTCTAAAAATCGATCTCCTTCCTTGAACAGGAAATGATCATCTATCAGTTGTTGTTGCGTTTCTTTATCCATGGTGGCCAGTGAACAGTAGGTTCCTTTCAATTCACCTTCTAATGAGCTTAAAGCCTCTTGCACCTAAAAGTGAGAAAGGATTCATACCTTTTAGGTATTATGTCGGTGTATATTTTTCTTTCTCTGAATAGAGAAATTTTTGTAAGCTATTAGAATGGATCGTTGAAACCGGCCATACCTTGTTCTCCAAGTCCCGATAGTCAGCTTCAGTCATTCTAGGATTTAAAGAATATCCCTTGACTGACCTGGCGCACCGAATTCTCGTCGAGATCACGAATTCTCCTTCAGGGTCAAGATTGCCAAGCTCCTCGGCTATTCCCCACTCTAAAGCAGGATGAACGTTGTCAGACTTGAAACCATTATGATATTCATCGATCACCGGATCGAAAAGATCGGCGAACACGTCGTAGGCCTCTTGATCAGGTGCGTACAGGCCAACACCTGAGTCAGGATTCTTCAGGCCCGACTGAATCACGTCCATCAGCGTGGAACCAAAACTGGTCATACGTGTCTTCAGTTTGTCGAAGATTGGTTCGGTTAAGTGTTTCTTCAGCAACGAATTGCTTTCGGTATTCGAAAATTCAGCGTATGCCTCCTCCAAAGCCTTCACTTTTTCGTCGTCTGGGTTCATGAAGGCGGGTTCAGCTGGTTTCGACTTCTTCCCGCAAGCGCATAACCTCTTGTCGCACATTTTCAATCAAGTTCGACTACTTCTTCATTTAATCCTGGGGGCATTGGGAAAAATAATAAACCTTTAGTACATACATATTGTGCTGGTATCAGTCGCTGCAAAACCATGATTGCAACATTTCCAGAGTTCTGATACATGAGTACTGATACATAAGTCTAACATGAGGTCTAATAATAATTCAGTAATTTAAATAAGCATATTTTTATTTAACACTAGAATAACACTTGTAGATGTTTTTTTAAGTTGAAAATAATGTAGAATTTTTTTTCTTGACAATAAAATTTCTAACTTAGGAATTAGTATTTTCAAAAACGGGTAAATCGAAACTCGAAGATCTCTGCTCTCGAAAGAAAGAACATTCCATAGGATGAAAAATCGTTACATACTGTTCTCTAACCTCTCGCTCGTCACGCGTCGTCTGGACGTCTCTATCGTTTTCGACCCTTTCGTTCTCCCTTGCCGCGGAGCATCCCCCGAAGCGTCGAGTTTTAATTACACATATTTTTTGTGGGAGCCGCTCTCAAGGCTGCCGGTGTGCGCCAGAAGGACCCTACACGACGGCGACGTGAATATTCGGAATTTTGACGCTTCTGGCATAGCCATCTCGACGCCGCGCCGCGCCATGCGACCGCGAAATCTCGTTTCCCACTCGTAAGAAAAAAAAAAAAATCGGCAAGCTGCTGCCTTCAACTTTTCGTCTCTTGTCGTCCATGTCGTCTTCGAGGTCGTACGTACGTACTTGCGTCGCGTCAGTGACTAGCACCGAAGCAATCTTGTCAATATTCAAAATGATACGTCGAGGTATCAAAGTACTCCAAACAGTCGGTAATGATTTGTAGCTGTTGTAAAATTAATATGTATCATTATACGCATAAGTACCATACTATTGTACAACGCTATGCACAATAAATCTTTTAAGAAGATTGTAAACTTGTATGACAAAAAAGAAAAAAAGGTATACATATGTACATACTCGTTTTGTTAAAGCCGTGAGTAATAATAATCTTCGTGCGTTCGCCATTTTTTAAAGGAATTAGTTAACGGACGTAATTAAGGAGCACACGTGAGACATACTTACGGTATAAATAAAACAAGATATATACATTTTTTCTGGTTTATTTTCCAGCTATACAGCTGGAGCACGGGAAAAAACAAGGTGAATTTACTTTAAAATAAACACTCAACAATTAACACATAGAGATACAATCAGTTCTTTATTTCCGATATCCTAAAAACACCATTGTTTATTTATACTTTTATTAATAATATAAGAAAACCTAACTCAAAAGGGTGACATTTAAATACGAGTATTGCATTATGTTGCAAATCTGTTACATGAAATAATATTACATGAAAATTTTCAATATTACACAAGTTTGTTTTGAAGAAATTCTTAATAACTCACCTTGTATTACATATGTCGCAAAGTTATCACAAGTAATGCTATAAGCTCCTTCGGTAATAAAGCAACACATAGAGACACGTAAATACAACGTAACGATAAAAAAAGATACATATTGAGCTTTTAATCGTCGAGCCATAAACTTATTAAACTGGTCTGTATTTAGTGCACCCCATTTAGACTGATTAAAATGTACTAAAATATAGAAGAATATTTTGTAATTCGCAGTGTATAATCGCACTGTACATGTACTACTTCTTATTTCTAAAATATATATAATTTAAGTTTAAAGCGAATTTCAATTGTCAAAACTTTATACACCTGTTGAAAAAAAGTTGGATAAAAAGCCGTATGACAAATTGAAAATATTTCTTGAAGTCGTTTAAAAATTTTCAGATATTACAAATTTTTAAACTCTAGATTTCGAAAATTGGAAAATTGGAAAATTGGAAAATTTCAAACTTTCAGAGGGATCTAACATAAATTATACTAATATTCAGAAAAGGTAAATGAACAAATCCAGAAATGTATCCGGATAGTCCTTTATTTATAGCGCTTCGAATTTGTTTCGAACTTGATCCGATCAGCCGGACTTCCGACATCGACATTCCGATCGCGAACAACCATGAAATCCCGTTTCCGGTGCGCTAACTGCACGTCGTGAAAATATTTAACTGCGTCCATTGATCAAGATTTTTTACCAGGGAAAATAAACGTCACGCTGACACCTGGCATCTGTATTTCTGAACGTATTTCCAACAGGTTTTGTTCAGTATTACACCATCCACAGGGATAAACAAAAGAACTCTCCTGCTCTTTAGTTTAAATGTAGGAAAAATATTACACCAGCTGAGGCAAGAAGCAATGAAATTTTAAATGTGTTTTTTCTCGAAATCACATTTTTTGATTACGTTGACAAGAAATGAAAAGTTTTTTCACACGAATCTTGTTGATTTCTGTAGATTTTCGTTTTGAAAATAAAATTCTGAAGTTGGTTGAATATAAAACCTCGATATTTCAACATTCGCCGCCACACGCAACACGTCGAGCATTCTCTGTCAGAAACGATCCGCCGAAGCTGTCAGTATTTCTTTAGACACGCGCGGTTCGGTGAAATTCACGTGATGACAATCAAGAATTATCAGGTTAACTCTGTGCCATGGACGACGCGAGACTGTACAGATATTACAGGTCCCGGAACAGTAATCCTTTTCGATGGCTGGTCCGTAGAAATACGTGCCTCTCTACCCGATGAAACGAATACGGAAAAGAAAAAAAAAAGAAGGAAAAATTTGCCGCGTGAAAACGATGTATACTCTCGTTTCAGATCTATCACATTCTGATCAGCGACGCGAAGCTCAGGCAGACGTTTAATTTGGGTCCGCATTGCGGCTTCGTTACGTTCATCACCTGGCTGATGATACTGATCATCCTACTCTGCTCGTTGCTGGTGAGTTTCACAAGGAGTTGTTCAAACTTCTGCCTCGTTGCAGACTTGCTTCGCGTTAACCTACCTCTTAATTTGTTGCTTCGTTAATCGTTGATTCTCCAGGGATCCCGGTATCCCGGTACGAGTGCAGGGGAAAGAGGTTAAGAAAAATATGTATGTTACTCCTTCCTCGTTTCGCTGTAACACAGTTCACTTTTTTTCTTCTTTTGCTTTCTTTATCGGGAATAAACTAGCTGACTGACGAGAGATATTACCTGAAGGTAACCGTGCAGGTTCGAACCTTGAGCTTTAAAACCTTTAAGCTCCAAGACTCGCGACCCGTCCAGATTCTGTAGTAGGATCATTGTTTTCACGAGAAAAATACGAATTTTCCGCATGTTTATACATATAGTATGTACTTTCTTATATTATCTTTAGGTTACATACATACCCTTGTTTAACCTATCAATTCTTTCCCTATTAAAATAAATTATAAAATATTTTCAAGTATTGTTGAAAATTGCAGGTAACCAAAACGATCGTCTCAGACGAAAAGGACTTCCTAGAGTTGTACAAGGAAACGAAAAAGGTACTGCTACGATGACAAATAAACTATGACCGCGAAGTAACAGTAATTACATTTAATTCACAGAAAATCCCCCGGAAGAAAAGCGTGACGGACATCAGACCGGCGTACAATTGTATTCATAAACACGTAAGTTTGTTTCTTTGTAATTTTGCTGGAAAACACGTTTCACCCGGTCGAGTCTTTCTTAACAATACACGGTTACAGGAAACGGTAAATTACTTTCTGATTTCCAGCTGCAACAGACCGACGTGTTTCAAGAGAAGACGAGGAAAATGGTGGGTGCTTTTCGAATATATTTCATCGCGGTCGCGGTGAACTAACATATCGCGGCTAAAACTCTTTATTTCGACAGCTCTGTAAGGAACATCTGGAGCTAGAAATACTGAACAGCAAAATCAATTGTATAAACAAGCTGTTGAAGCCAGAGGTAAGGTGTTTGGAAATTTTTTTCCAAATCTCTTTTTTCTTCTATCTCTTTTCTATTAAGTCTATAATTTTATTTAGAATTTAAAAAAGCATCTTATTGTTAGTTATTCTAATGATTATTGTAGAAAAACGAATCGCCCAACAGATTGCAAATATGAAATTTCAAATTATAGATTTATCGAATTTTAAACAAAAGTCCAATTAATTGAATACGGTGTTGAAATGATTGAAAAACTAATAGAATATTGTTTAACGAGCTTTAAAAGTAAATTTAATATTGCAGTCACTAAACTCTGAACTTTAGTGAACTACTGGAAACTGTTACTTAATGAGACTCGGTGACATAAAAATAGAATCAAACTAGTCTTTCAGCCAATACCTGAAACTTTTGTTGGTCACGAGTTTCGTTTACGATGTGCTTTTCTCCATTTAACAGCTTTTCAGCGAAATCGTCGATAAAATCAACGGGCAGAGAAACAGTCGATAACATACACAACAGTTGAAAAGTTTCAACTGTACATACATTGTGTCACGTACTCCTTAACTAATACGAATGTTTCATTTACATAATTTGGCTAAAAATTCTCGAAATTTAAAACAGTTTTATTGTTAAAAGATATCTCAAAGATATTGTCTTGGGTCACCCTGTATATACATACATACATACATACATACATACATATCTGTAACTATGTGAATTTCTGCGAGTTCATCCTAATTAACAAGATGAGAATCGCGTCTTTCGGCTAAAGGGGTTGGCTTTTAATTGTTTTAATCTAATTTTCGAGCCGTGGCTTTCTCGTCGGTGTCGTGATTATCGCATCGTAAAATCTAAGCTTTTTCCAAGTTGCGACTGATTCCTTTCTCGCAATGAATTCCGTTTTTCACCTGCCAACGCTAAGTTAACTTGTCACGCGACTTTTAACCCTTTACAGTCGTGTATTTGTCCTCATTTACCGCGAGTTAACGTTACTTTCAATTAATTTTTTCAATTAATTTTTGTATCGTAACATTATAAAAAAAATTATACTCTATTTAAAAAAAATCTTACATTTTTTTTTAAAAATCTTACAAATAAAAGGAAAATAACTGTAAAATTATCAAAATGAAATTCAGATTTAAAAGGGACGTTTCTAAAACGAATTCGCACCTATTTCAGGCGCAGACTGAATGGCGGCGGAGCAAATTACCGAAAGTGTATTATCGTCCCATTAACTCCCCCGTGTCGAAGTAACAATGTAATTAACCAAACACAAACTTGCCCAATAAAGAACGTGCAAACTGCATCGACTTCGTACGCGTTTATGACTTTACGATTTTCTGCACCATTAAAAGTTTTCCTGTTACGAAGGAGGAAATTCTTTAATTTTGCAGTCTTTCACTTTTCACTTTAATACCTTTCGTTTTTCTCATGATTGAGAAAACGCTGTTTCTGTAATTATTCGATGAAAATTACGGCAAGGCGATGAAGATGTTAAAAAACTATAAATTTCTTTAAATAGTAAATTTACTATTTACTTTATCCACGTGAAGCTCGTGTAGAAAATCGTCTCAACACGAACAGACCGTGTATGGAAGTATTTAAGTATGTAAGTATGTACATACCATACACGTCGTTAGCCCCGCGCGAATCAAGTTGTGCGTTTACCAGGCCGTATAATTCATTCGCGTGTTTGACGTGTGTAATAATAGAAACAATGGAACAACAGAGGCACGGTAACGCGACAGCAATAACTCAGGACTGTCCCTGTGTGCATAACTATAACTCCCCGGTCGGGCCCGGCTATCTTTTGAGACACCGTCGTTCTGTGTTGATTAATCAAACCGAATAATCTGGTCGAACTGAATTCAAATAATACCCTGTGGTCGGTCCCTCATTCTCTCTCCCATGACAATTTCGACCACAGCATCGCAACACAGATTTTTCAATATTTCCGTGAATGTTATCTTAAGTATTGATAAAATTGTTGTTTGTTCGTATCAACTAGTAACGAATAAATAAAATTTCTCATTCGTTTGTTCGTCAGCCTACATAGACACCGCGAGGCCTGATAAAAAGTGCAGAATTTTCTTCGGCAACCCCTGCCATTCCTAATTATTTCTAACAAGATGAACCGTAAGAAAGCGGCATCCGTTAGGTTAAACATATGTATGTAAATATCTATGTATACGAAGGTGAATCGGTGCCGAGATTTCCAGTTGGGCGCATGCGCCCGCCGCGCCGACTCATTCTTTTTCCACCCCTGCAGCTAGTCGCGGAATGTAGATGTCGCTGGTAGTGGCATCGAAATCCTAACACCCCGTCGCGTCGCGTCGCGTCGCGTCCACCCGGTTCTCACCCTCTCTAGCCCCTTCTTCGGCTGTTGTCGTCTATTTTCATTCAGCCCGTTCCGTTCGCCTCGGTCGTCGTTCGAGCTGGTCGCCTCTGGCGCAGAAATTGAACCACGGCTACGTGCTGGGTCTTTGCTCCCGTTTAATATTTCAACCAGTCCATTGGCTGCCTTGAACATCGACATGCGCCTTGCCATCGACTCTCCTCCATTCTCGTTACGTCAAACGTAACGCGTTGTCGCTCGAAATCCCCGTTCATAATCCACTTATCAGAGAGGGCTGCCGCTAGACTCGTGGCTATCGATACACGGAAATACGAAAAATCGATCGGTGACAGCCGGCATGGCAGCCTCGTGCACGCATCTCGCTTTTATGGAGGTCGACACTTTGCCTAACATAAGTACTACCTAATACACGCTGTCGCTTAACTACTCTTCTGTTCGTATTAAATGAAAACTGGCGATTCTCGATAAGGAAACAACTCGAACGAAACTGTGCCGTAAACATTTTCTTCATACAAAATTTACCTAATAAATACTCTCTTATGTCCTTTCCTCTTTAACCCTGTTAAAAGGTTCAATTATTATAATACCGACGTCGTACCACAGTTGTGAGAGCAGAATTTTTTTCATATTTTCTAGCCTCACGATTGACCAAACTTTCCTACTTTTTGGATCGATCGAGACCAAAACTTACATAACGTACACAATTTTTACAATTTTTACAATTTTTACAATTTTTACAATTTTTAAATGAAACAGTTTTTATGAAAATTATTAAAATGTCCTCGTGCAATTGCTCAATTGCTCAATTGCTCAATTGCAGAAGCTTTCGGATATTGTATCCTCATCAATATTCAATGGAGATCATAGAGTTATACTGCAGCAGTTTTTTTCAAGCTTTTGTGCTTTGGTAGCGTAGCTTATCGGAGATTTAAATATTATTGATAAAATTATTTTAGATTAGTTTTGCAATAGTCTATCGTATCAATATAATAAATAATTATAATTAATAGTGATCCGCTTTTATAACAGAGCGGAGTGAGAGCGACACTTGACGATCATTTTCAATTCAATAATATTTTACTGATAATACATTCTATCGTATTCTTGGAATTGAAGTGCACAATTTTCTGATTAAGATGAAAAAGAATATTGGAAATTTATTTCCGCATATCGTATTTCACATCAACTGTCAGGTATCAGGAACATCCTCGGTATGTAATCGTTCGTGAAGGATTAAAAACAGATTTAAAGGATTTCCTTCGCAAAGGATTAAAAGAATCTGAATCGTAACAAATACATACATATATGTAGGTAGGCACGAATTGAAAATATTAATGTAAAAATTTGTAAAAATGAAAAACAAAAATTTGAAAGCTATGAAAAGATTCATTGTTTGTAATACGTCAGTTGTAATGTTTAGGAACAAAGTGCTTTTGTTTCCTTATTGTATAGGTACCTTGAATAATAAATATGAATAGAATCCGAAACAGTTTTGAAAATCGATTTTCTCGAAAATGTAACTTGTACGAGGGAATTTTCTTCCATACTTTCCACTTATTTTTATGTATATTAGGGTACACCACCTAACTGGTTAGGTCGATCCAGCATGAGAAAATAAGTAAGAAAATGTTTCATTCAGAAAATCGATTATAAAGGCTTCTTTGGTGCGTATAAATACAATATTAAACCCATGACCAAGTGGTAGGTAATTGTCGGTGTTATGTTCAGATCCAATAAGGTATCGAACCAGTGAACATAGAATATCAAACGAGCCTTCAATATCGATTATCTGAAATTTTTATTTCACTTACTTTTGACTTACGATTACACGACACCCTATACATTATACCTACACGTATTTTCGTTTCGATCGAAGAGACTATCGGGGCCAACAACGGTAATATGCATCCCGGTATAAAGAAAATGCAAACGCGTTCTCTACTTCTTTGTCTTTCTTTTCTCCCCTTTTTGTTGCTTCTACTTACTTTCTTTTTATCCGCTTTCTTCCAGTTCGTTCTTCCGTTCTTCCGTTCTTCCGTTCTTCCGTTCTTCCGTTTTTGGCCGCCGTTTTCGTACCTTTTCTGTCTCTCAACCGAGGCAAAAAGACAGTGCGATATCTCGGGCTAACGATAAGAAGATTATTTCGCTCGGCTGAGAAATAAGTCGAGCCCATCTCGGATTATTATGTATTACTACCCCATACCCCATACCCCATACCCCATAATATTTTCTATGTTTCCTCTTCCCCTATCTTCCTGTTGCGTAACAGCTGATATTATATGTAGGAACTTTGAAACCAGCCAGTTACCACTACGTATTGTATGTTTTGCATTTCTAAATAATAATTTATTATTATTATTTATTAATTGCGAAGGAACCCATTGCCTGCCCAGTGAAATTCATACCCATATAGCATATTTCGATATAATTAACAGAATTTTTAAATTGGTCAACTGTTTTAATCAAAGCTTTGATTCTAACTCTAGCCTATAACAGATTTAACTTGCACATTTTGCAAAATTTCATTATTCATTTTCGCGCGTATGTCATAATTAGAATATGCCGTAATACTTTGAAAGTAACGTGGCAGAAATATGTTACATATTTCTCTTATTTAAAATTATTAATGGTTTTAATAATTGTCCCAAAATCCAGGGCAAGGTAAAATTTGGAGAAAAAGATTTAAAATGTACAGTAACTACAAATTTTAAACAATCTAATTTTATCAATCTAAGTGATTAACGAAATAAAAAGTAGATAAATTTTGAATAGCGTTGGTATTAAGCTAATAATTATAATTAATTCATTGTGTCTTACAACAAATAGCTATTTTTAATTCTAAAAAGAACTCCAAGTAAGTACCTTCTCTATCAGAAAAAATATTTTCAGTTATTCAGCTGGCCTGTCTTAAATGTCTCAGCCCCATAGTACGATGAAGATTTACAGTAAAATTCATTAACTTGAAGCTTAATTAGCCACCTTAATTGCCAATCCCAGCCGTTCATCGAACGGTCCGATTAATTTATTTAATTTATGCACATGCATATCGCGTGACTAATTGCCCGAGCTAACGGAACATGTAACGGATCCTCAGAGATGAACAATTACGATGACTTTTTCGCCTGAAAGCACCGTGTGTACGATCCTTAATTAAGGATTAAACGGTAACATCTGATCGATTGTGAACTTAAAACTTCCTCTCGTTTCTCTTCGAAACACAGCCTCTACTCTGTGGAGGGAGAAAAGTGCTTCTTCCCTCGAACCATTTTTCTTCTCTCCTTACTTATTGTCAGTTACAATTGAACCTATTTTTATAATTATTTTTAAAAATCTACATAGACGTTAATGGAAAGTATTATATATATATATATATGTAGAAAAATGAGTTATGAAAAATGAATTGATATATGTATGAATTGTGCAAATTGACCAGCTCTCTATTCCATGATGTATACATATAGGTAGGAGTTGACACTCGCTTTCTTTCCCTCCCGTATATTAATATGTACAAGGAAACGAAAACGCATTGATTAATAGGAGAAATGACGTTTCCTCGATGAATAAAAGATGATGGACACATGAAAAATTGACAGCATTGATAAGGGGTGACTTGTGATGGTTATTTGCTACGTGGTATTTTTTTACTTATAATTTAATACTTTATATAGGCCGATTATAATATATAACTATTATTATTTCGGTACAAACATGGTGGAAGAGAAAATGAATAAAACTTTAGAATTAATTAAATTAAATTAGAATAATTTTTAAATAAATAAAATGAATGAATTAGATTTGTTCCACACGAAACTAAGGTCTAAAGTCTAAACTATTAGGAATTAGTACGAACGAAATACGGTAAGAATAGAGGGACGGTAAGAATGGTTAAATTATTCAAGAAATCTTGGAAGAAAAAATTTCTGTTCTCGTCGAAGCGTTTCCATAAATACGTAAAGTCAGGTGTGCTCTCAATAATTCAACCTTTCGTTGAAGAGCTTGCTAGTGAAAAATAAATGGCATTTCGTATATAAAATTTGACGTTTGTCGCGATAAATGTGATATAACGTCCAACATTTCATATATCCTGTACGATCGTACATTTATTCAAGAGAAATTATTCTACCATTATATGTACAGGGTTTTCAAAAAATCATTTCTGATTATCAACATTCAAAGAGAGTTGAAAAAAATCTGTCTATAAATCACGCAGCCTTCGAAGTAATTAATCGGATCATTAATTTTTTCTGTTCAAGCCTGGATAAATCCAACATTAAGGTTAGCTAATGAACTAATTAAATTGAAAGAAAAACAAAAGGAAAGTCGATGGAAAGCGAGGAAAAAATAGAAGGGTGAACGACGTGTTTAAAGAAAAGATAGTTTAAAAGTGTAAGCACGTCGTAATCAGAAAGAAACGAAGCTCCAAGTTTCGAGCTTGTAAAGTGTGGAAAAATAAACGCGTAAAACTAGCAGCAAGCAAGATGAGCATCGTCGATACGATTCAAGAACTTTGTACAAATTAAATTGCAAAGAACGCACTGGGCAAGAATCTCCTAAACGAGCCATAAAAAATGGAAAATTTATCTTTGTTTCATACTCAACCGACGATATTTCAGAAAAAGAAAGGGGACGTGATCGTATTTACGACCTTCGCTGTGAGCGAAGACAAGAATTTTGAGTAGCTTGGACATACATACATACATACATACATAGAAAATGGAAAGACGTCGTCGTGACATATTAACTTTCAGATAAATTTACAGTCCTAAATGGATAATAAAACTAATAGAAAAAGCAAACATTAATTTCACCTAGACAAGTCCTTAAAATCTCCTAAAGAAATAAATTTTAATTTATCAATTCTTTTAGCTAATAAAAAGCTGAAAAATCTTCGCCAAGATTCCAACATAACTGTCTTGCAAATCTGTTAGCTTGAAAAGTAACCAAAGTTCGATTCAACGTACAATCATTACCGTCCTTCCTTCAGTCGGTTCGGATAGGATCGGATAGGATCGGTCAGTTGGTCGTGACAAATGTTTCGTTCGAAACAAAGAACAGAAAAATGCCGTTGTAATATCGTAGAGACTGTTGAAAAGAAAATCGATCCGTTAAGTCTGCTCCATCAACAACGAGGGCTGCAGTAACGCCAGGCGTCTACGCAGCCATCGAGCTTTCCCAGAGATGGGAAAGGAGGGTGGCAAAGGGACGAAGGGACGCTGGGACACGCTAGCCGACAAGCGGCTGCTGAAAAATGCCCCTAAAGCGTGACTACCCTCCGTGTGCCACCGTTTTTTCCTAGCTCCCCCAACTGGTCCCGTTGGCAGAGGGGAACATTCAAAACGAATGGGCCACACGTGTGCTGCACGTTTTCTTTTTTTTCCTTCTTTTTCTTCTTCCTTCCTTCCTTCCTTCCTTCCTTCCTTCCTTCCTTCCTTCCTATGCCTAAAGCCCGTAACACACTGAAATGGTATACATCAATTTGGTTTTAGTATTTAGGGTCCAAGTACTATACTGTTGTCTTAACCCTCTGTGAATTAATTATCACAATCTTGTTTTTATTAATAATTTTTATTTGATAATTTTTTTCTCTAACTCCTACAGTTTGAGGAAAGATATTCGAGGTGGTAATTTTGACTGGTCTCCCTTTTTCAGCAGTGTACATTTCACTGTTTACTACACTTTTTATTTTATTTTTCTACAATGGGTCACATATTATGGGCCAAGAAATGCAGGTCTGAAAGCAGCCTAACACCCTTCTGTTTCCCTCCTCCTATCCGTACGTTCGGATCCGTGTTTCTGTACACGCCACCACCACCAGCACGATCGAACACTCCTCCACTTACATACATTGTATATCGGCGATTTCGGGTTGGCAAGACACTCGAAACTCGCGAAACTCCCCTGGAGGACGTGATTTACGCGTGTCACGAAGTATCGTGCGCCACACGTGCGGTGGACGTTCGCCGTTTCACTTTCTCATCGCGCATCGGTTCGAAGGAAGTTCGACGAAGAGGGACCGAACATCGGCCCTGAACGCTCGTAAACTAACAATGATACCTAGGGAGAAAGGTTTCCACGGTGATTTCGCGATCCACGGGATTACGATCTCGATGGATGCACGAAATCTATCGTCGTTGGGATTCCTACTCGCGTTTGTTTGCAGTTTCCGCGTTCGACTTAAATCTGATTCATGGTTGTATCGTGGCTGGGTATTTCTCCCCATAGGAGCTTAACATTTTAAGGTATCACGCGATCCTACATGTATTATCGTAGTCAAAGAAGAAATTCTATCCCTCGTATGCAAAGTTCAGATGTTGCATTAAGGAATGAAAGTAAAAAATGTAGAATTAAGGAAAAGTTTCAAGAAAATTTGGTAGAAAAGTAATTATGATATACAGAGAAATCTGAAAAACCTGTAAAAAGCTTTAAAAATTTGATAGGTGCAGTACATTCTGAGAATGTATTGGCTTATTTTCTATACCACGGTACCACGGTAGAACGACGAGGGTAAAACAACGGTCGCACAAAGTACATACATTGTACATACATACATAGATAGCTACGTGAACCGATTGACGGATGATAAACTCGCATCAAATCACAATAGGACACCTGACATATCTATCGACACGCGACGCCTCGCGTGCACATTTGTAATCTAGTCAGTGAGTAAACCAATCAAGTTATAAAAAACATGAGACGAGAATCCTCATCAAACCTAACTAATCCCGAGCCGCATTAATTTGCGTTGGAAACAATTGATTTGAGTAGGTACAATATTTTATGAAAACGGGAATAATGCACCCCCTTTTCCTTTATGGCGTCTGACGTCACTGCCTTAGCTAACCTTGCCTAAACGTCTCGGTGTCTGAATGTATGATATAAATGAAATCTTGGACGACTTGGAAGTAAAAGAGAAAGGTATGTACATATATGAAAAGGTGACGATGGCGAGGGTAAAAGCAAACGGGTCCAGTGCACATAGGGCGGTAGATGTTAGAGGGATACAGCCCCGTCGCGTCGTACCTATGAAAGTTTCCCTGTGATAAGTGTCGGATGATTTATTCATCTCACGACGCTGCAGGCACCGGTACAAATTACGCATCCCGTTCAGAAAACCTTCCCGCTACGTGACAGTAATTCATACGTTCGCATTAACCTACGTAACGCTCCCTCCAACACGTGAGCCCTTTAGCGATGGTAACCCTTCTCGCCAGCAACCGTCTCTGATTCTTTCTTCTTTACGAACATTTACGAACATTTAGGAACCGGCATCAGCGAAAGGGAAAGTCAAGTACAAATTTGAAAATATATTATTCGGAGAAAGTTTCAACTTGTTGATTGCCGTGTGTAAAGAGTATTGTATAAATGGTGAATATTTTCGATGTAATATACAATATTAAAATGCAAATCAGATTCTCCCACGAGCAAGTAATAACGAAGCAGGTGCATTAGAGCTCGCATCAGCAAATTCGATCGGGTATCTCGAGCATTCATCAATCAGGAAGTTACGAAGCCTTGTCGCGCGTCAGCGTTCAATCTTTCGATTTCAGTGTTTCGCGGGAGAAACACCGTTCCACGTTTTTCTTTTATTGATTCGAGACATAACCTGAAACGGAAGAATTGGCGAGATTTCCACTGACTAATCGAGCATCCCATCCAGTCGCTTAGAAATTGACTGGTTGCGTTCGAAACGTGGTGATTCAATTTTCATCCGCTAAAGGACCGACGCGACGCGACGCGACGCGACGCATCTATTTTCTCCTGTTTCAAAGTTCGTCAGAATGGGGTGACACGTACAATGTTCTGTTGGAATGATTAATAAAATACAGAAAACGAACGAATAGTGAGCGAGAGCAAATAGCTTGGGCAGAAAAAGGGAAAGAAAAGAATTCTCCAATCGACGAGTCACAGATTTTCGATAGATTTCATTGAAATGGAAATAGTTTTTAGGCATTTATGTTTGATGAAGGAAAGGGTACCGTGATTGATTAAGAATTATTTTTCAACTAGTTCAATTGGAAAAATCTTTTTCATATAAAAAAGATATTTCATATAAAATCAGATATTATATACATATTATGTACATTTCCAATTTGGCATTAATACCCTAGATAAATATTAGATTGTTGCATGACAAGTGCGGTTAATCTTGAAATCTAAAAAGCAAACATGATTTGGTAATTGAAAAACAGCGTAAAATAATACTTTGCCGGATCAATTTGAAGCTTGAAGCTTGAAGTTTGATGAAAATGACTTCACAAAGCTTGGGTTAGTGTTCTGCATACAAAGTGGCGGCTGGTTGTCAGTTGCAGCAAACAATGGACTAAAGTGAAATTTGTGTACTGTCCCTTTACGGATTTCAATCAGAATACATATTCCGTAAGTTAGGCTGCTAGTAATTTAATACAACGTTAGTTTGATAAATTTCGATCGAGAGATACGAACCTTCAAATTCATAAGCAATCGTGATCAATTAACATTAGAAGGAGCAGTGGTTACAATCCTCACAACGCAACGCTTTCTTATGTAGAGAAAAATAATAAATAGATAGATATGGATAGATATATTATTGTTTGACAGACATATCCTATCTTCTTAGTGTTTGACTCTACATAGATGATAGTTGAGCGAGGACTTGCAAGAAAGTTGTTGCGGATGTCTTGGATGGTGAGCTTGAGGGAATATACCATCAAGCTTACACAGATGGTACGTGGTGTTTGCTCAGCATGGAACCCAAGTTAACCAAAGTTATTGTGATCCTCTATTAGTAATTCTACGATATCGAGAATAGGATCTCGTATTGTTACTCAAATAGACGTTCCTAGTAATCGTCAAAGTTGTTAGTTTTTTAAGTTTTAGGGTAGATTTTTCTTAAACGGTGACGATCACTTCAAAGTACTTAGTAAGAGTGGGGTCAGGCGGATCAAACGAAAATCCCCCGTTGTCTCTCTAAGGGGTTAGTAATTTGTTTAAAAACCTAATGCCTAATGCCGTTGACTAATACGTCTCGTCAATTTCATATATTCCTTCTGAATCACCCTATATATATATATATATCCTAACAAAAATGTAAATAGCATTGTTTCACAACTACACCGCGTCAGAGAGGATCGTTTTATTTTTTCTTGCAACGCAACAGATTTGGAGAAAGCAAGGTTCACCGCGAGAGCGGAAGTTTTTGATTAAAGTTTAATTTACAGGAATGCTTCCGTCCTGGCGAACTTTAAAATGAAATTTTTCGTCCTTCCTCTCTCTCTTTCTGCTAGCCACTTATCACCTTCCGCGTGCCGGGCTATGACGTCTACAGATGTCACGATTCCTTCACAATTACAATCTCATAGTCAGCCACTTATTTCCCGCGAATGAAAAATCTTATGAATACAAGGTGTTTAACTTTAAAATATCTTATTTCTTTCTATCGTTATGATAACATGTTTTAAAAATTTTAAAAATTTTAAAAATATATAATTAGTTTTTTATAAAAAAAAGTGAATACAATCCATAATATTTACAAAATTCAGGCTATTATATAATAAAGAATAATATTATTACCTATAAAGTTTGAATCATGTATCTACACTACAGTATTTGTTTTTCAAATGGTGAAAATTTTACTTTTTGTCTATGATCGTTTTTCCTTTGGGCTCTTTATACATATATGAACTGGTTATATGAACATACTTGTCCCCAGACAGCTTCATATAAACGGGGTTCTACTGTATTAGGTCATCCTGAAAGTTCCCTGTCGTTTTGAATACCACAACTTTATTAGCCGTCTATACGGATTATAAGCGCACTTTCTGTAAATGATAGACGTGTTGTTTTATTATATTTCTTTATTAAACTTTAAAGTGAATTATTCAATTTCGTTCTTTTAAGATAATATAGTTGAATGTATAGGATAGGATATTTTAAAACATGTGAGTATAACTTCTAAAGGTGGATTGAATACGTTAACCCTTTCCACCACCAATTATATTTCAACTAAAAATCCAAAAGTTAGAAATTCAATGTTGTTATTATTTTGAACTCAGTAAATTCATTCGAGTTAGCAAGGCAGAAACATTAATTTTGATGTTATAAAAAAAATTAAATTTCCTATTCTGAATAAATAGATCGTAATGAATGGAAGTTTCTTTTGTTCATTCATTCGAGTCTTTACGGAATGAACGAGTCGCAAGCGAAGAAAATTAACTTCCTAAGAAGCTAAAGTTGCACGAAAGAAAGCATGATTGCATTAAAGTAACGCCCCACTAAAGAAATCCGTGTAAGTAGATTGTTCAGAGTCCTAGGAGCGTGACTCTTTTCCTGATTTCTTCCTTTTGCTAATCCATCAGGAATATTTCGGTAGCTTTAGAAAGGAATCAATCAGTCGAAAAACCAAAAATTTTCATCACCTGAATATTTCTATCAATATCAATATCAATTTACTGAAATGCCGTTTTAAGCTTATTTTTTAATTTAATAAGCAGTGCACACAATGATACAGTTTTAAGCGTAATCAATTTGATTGAGTAATTTTAAAAACGAGGAAAAATATTAAAGCAATTATTTATCATATCTTTGCAAGTACATATTTTCTATCAATCACGAGTGAAGAACGCTATTCTCCGATACGATGTTAACCACACAACCACATAACCACAGTTTTTGATCTTTTTTTTATAACAATATTTAGTTTGGAAATGAATGAATTCAGTGGCGAACAAAATAGCGTCCAATTGTACATGTTGAGGTGAAATGGTATACATATAAGTTAATCTCTTTATATGAAATATAAATTTATCCATCTATGACATTAAATCAACCGAATATCACTAGAGGGATAAAAATAAAGGGAGCGATGTAATTAACATTGTTGGGATTCGTCACGGTTGTATTTTAATTTATAATCAACGATGAAATGTACTTTATGTGATTACACAGGATGAACATAAATGAACAAGATGATATTTTAATTTCAAAAATTTCGCTAATACAAGATGAAAGTTTTCAAATAAACTAGAATGATGCTTGAAAATACAATGACATAAAATTCTGAATGAAAAGTGACAAAGAAAAATTTCTTGCTATGTTCCTCTTCCATTTTTTACCCTTTACTTCCAATTTCACGCACCATTTGTCACTCTCTATATTTCACGAAACTGCTAAATTTCATCGTTAATAACAAACACGATTATTCTTTCCCATAGTGTTTCCATTGAAAAGTTTTTCAACTGGATTTTAAGAATTTAAGAGATGATGATGGGTTCGAATGAAAGAATTTCAGAACTTTTGAATAGGCCTTACCTAGTTACACACCAGCAATTATATTGATTATCGTGGTAATATTAAGATTAAGTTTCTTCATTTTCGTTTTCGTTTTCTTCCAACAACGGTTTCTTGATAGGGAGTCAACTGACCCTTCTAACTCCATTTGGTTGCGGTTTATCGGCTTGATGCTTTTTACACTCTTCCACTCTGTCCTTTGAAACTGTTGAGATATTTTAAGTTTGCCGAGAATAAAGCTCATCACCGATAGAACGGGACTTTTCAATCCTCCGAGCGACCGTTTCATCCGTTAAATCCGAGATTGGGCAAAAATAAAGAAGCACGTATCCCGGGACAAAATATTCGAAGGAGAAGAAAATCGATTCCAGACGCGCTATGCTAGGATAAACCCTTCGCTTCCCTTCGCTGAGATAAGTGATCCTGGAATTATTTCCAGATTCCCACGATGCGTTCTCGCGACGAGAATCCTCGTAACCGGTACCGGCTAAATGGAGGCGGAGGGTCTCGTACAACTTTTAAACGGTTCGAGAAGGTGCGTCGTAAATAGAATATACCTACATACATAGTATTATATGTATAAGGAAGACACGGTACTTACGTATGAACGCGGAATAACGCGTAACGGCCGCGCGTATGAAACTTATAAA